CAAGGCGAACCTCTCACACCTCTTCAGTCGTGCATCTATGTCTCTCCTCTTCACATGCTCGAACCATCTTAGCCTCGCCTCCCGCATCTTTTTCTCCACCGAGGTCACGCCCACCTTGCCCCGGATAACTTTATTTCTAATTATGTCTAATCTGGTATGCCCACACATCCATCTCAAACATCCTTATCTCAGTCACCTTCATCTTCTGGACATGAGAGTTCTTGACTGGCAAACACTCCGCCCCATACAACATAGTCGGTCTGACCACCGCTCTATAGAACTTCCTTTTAATTCTTGGTGGAATATTCTTATCACACAAGACACCGAAAGCAAGCCTCCATTTCATCCATCCCGTCCCAATATGATGTGTGCATCCTCGTCAATCTCCCCATTCCCTTGAATAACTGACCCAAGATACTTGAAACTCTCTCTCCTAGGGACGACTTGAGAATCAAGCCTCACGCCTTCCTCCACTACCTGAGTCACGCCACTGAACTTGCACTCCAAGTATTCTGTTTTAGTCCTACTCAACTTGAAACCTTTAGACTCCAAGGTTTGCCTCCAAACCTCTAACCTCTCGTTTACATGCAAAAGACTCCAAGGTTTGCCTCCAAATCTCTAACCTCTCGTTTACACTGTTGCGTGTCTCGTCGATCAGCACAATATCATCTGCAAATAATCAAAAAATATAAATTGGGAAATAAAAAGAAAGAGAAAACAAATGCAGTCATGCCTCTTTATAACAACATCCCTATATAACAGTCATTCACTATAAAAGCCAAGTTTTTCTCAGAACCGATTTTAAGTTATATTTTACCTTTCTATAATAACTTTTTACCTATAAAAACAACAACTATATTTATAACAGAATGCTCTTTGTAAAATTACCCATTTATAACAGCCATATAGAATCTTTAAGATTAATATAATAATTGTAAAATGCACACAATCTTTTCCATTAAACAAAGTTTCTATCTTACATAAGATATAAGATTTGAAGTTATGCACATGAATCTTTTCCATTGAACAAATTTCAAAAAAATATTTAGATAGAAAATTTAATTGATAAGCTCTTAGATTGTTTTCAAAGGAAAGCTATTGGATACCTTTTTGCTGAAAATTTGGACACGAATCTTTGCCAATTCAAGCGTTATATCGCTAGTAAGAGAATAAAATCTACGAAACAAGCTATAATTATAAAGTTCTTCCATCAATCTTGAAAGAATTTATTTTTCTATGTAGCTTTAAAATGTCTGCCTTAGAGTTTATTTCTTTATACATTTAGTTATGAATTTATTAATAATGTATTAGCTTTATTCAATAATTAATTAGAGAAATATGCATATCTTTTGAGATTTTTAATTTGAATAATTTTTTTATCTTTTATATATAACATTAAAAAATTAATTTTTGGATAATTTTTATCTATAACAGCCAAAAAAATATTTAAATATCAAATTTTATTATAGGTGTATAACAGTCATTTACTATAAAAGACAAAAATATATCGGAACAAATGAATCTGTTATAGAAAGGGTTGACTATAAATAGATAAATAAACAAGAATGAAAATTAGAAGAGAAAAAATTGGGGACCACCAAAGCTTAAAGCTTATAGTACTCGCGTAAATCTTTTACAATAGGCATAAGCTTAATTTTCACTATGTCGTAACCTTTCTTCCTGTGTAACAGAAGAAAAAAGTCAATAACGAGAATTTGGAGTGAATAACTAAAAGGCATTATAAATAGAGAGATCTTAAAAAGAAATTAGGTTGAAGAAATGAACAGAAAGTGTACAAGTATTTAGTGGTTTATAAACAATGAATATTCGAAAATCCACTTGAAAGTAGAATTGCTATCGTATACGGGTGAAACGGGGTTCATGAAATAGCCCGGTTTTCAATAAAGTAAATCGAGTAAGAGACGTGATGATAAGAAACCGGAATCGAGACAAGGGTCTCATCGAGCCAGGGTCCGGGGCCAAAACGCCCACCCTCGGGAACATCAGGGCCATGACCCCGGGATCGGTCCTAATCCCAAAAAACTTCAGAGAGTGTCGCCAGGCAACCGAGCACGATTAACAGTAGGCCGTGATATCTGTGACCAGCCGGGTATCATGGCGTGGATCTCGGCACGTACCAGCGAAAATCCGGTGATTAGTTAAACGGAAAATGTTTACCTTTTATGGAATTGTACCTAGGGTAGGACTCCCCTACTATATAAAGAGGGGTCTGATTATTCATAAAACACACTGTAACACGCACATCAAGGCAATATACTATTATTTTCTTCTAGTTCTTATTCATCAGTGCTTGGTCATTGTGTGTCCGGGATCAAGGGCGGATATTTCATTAAGGCTGTTATTAAGTCTGAAATCAACCTCCTCAAGTGATTTGATAATTTATTACCTCCTTTATCTGTTTAATCTTACGTAATTTATCGTTTATATTGAATTAATCCACATATCCTTAAAATCATAAATAAATTTAATTGTTATCCGTTTTCGAGGATAAACAACTATATTGGTACAATGGTTAAATAGGACTTCAAACCCACCATGTAAACTATATATGCAGCTGAATTACATCAGGACACTATGCAGCAATGTTTGAATGTGAGTATTTCCCATATTTATAGAGGCAAACCTCCCAGCTGTGAGCTGACTCTTTATCCAAATATTGTTATAATCAGCATTAGCTAAGAAAAAATTTGACTCCATTGAAGGAATTTTGCTAAGCGGAGCTAGGGATTTAAGCGTGTGAGTTTTAAATTTTAAAATAAAACACTTTTGGCTAATATTAGACTAAAGTCATTATCCTTCCAGCATCGCAGTGACTACAAAAGGAAATGTGAAATCTTTTTTACTGTTTACCCGAAAAACGGATAGAGTTAAATTTGTACATAGTTCTAAGGGTATGTGGTATAACTTGACACAAATCGTAAGAGTAAATAGAAATATCGAGTGTTGACTGTAGAGAATGAAAAATACGCAAAGTTGAAAAGAAGATGATTTATGGATTAAGCAAGATAAATCAATCTATGAAACTAAAAAAGGATAACTCTTCAATATGGGAGTGTATGATATCTTGTTACAATGTATGCCAAACTTGATCCTTTACATAAATATAGTCATCCATTTTATAGTGGGAGGATCCTACTTTAGATATAATTAAAAATACATAGAGGGGAACCCATGATAAATCAGTTTTTCTCTAATTCCCGTAGAGATTCTCTCCCTTAGTGCGGCTGTAACGGCTCATGTCCATGAGCTCGATCTTGATTGGACTCGGTATTGGTCGGTATTGATTTTAAAGCTCGATGTGGGTTTGAACTCGATGCCGACTCGGGGTTCGGTATTGACCTGGGTTCGGTATTGGTTTGCCTTTGGTTCTTAAGCTCGATTCCGCTGCTTCTTAGTATAGTTCGATTTGGACTCGAGCTCGATAATGATGTCGAGCTCGGTATTTAATCTGACTCCGAAACTCGAAACTTGTTCGTGCCTTCTTCAAATCTCACCTCGATATTATGAAGATACTCTTCGGTCCATCTTCACCAATCGTACGAAGGTTGAAAACGATTTTGACCGTATACATTCTCCAACAATATGTTTGGTTAGGCAGTTTCATTTATTTCTTTTGAGAGATTATTGGCTGAGAATTTCAAAAAAGCTCTCTCTTTTGTCAAGGTGAACGATTTAGTGAAGAATTTCTCGTCTAACTTATTTTCTTACTAGGTTATTTCTTCTTTTCTCTTTTTATGTATTGTAGATGTATATTGTACAGTATTGTAAGGGGAGAGTCTCCCTTATTTACCTTCTAGGTTCTTTTGTGAATGGGGGAGTCCTCCCATATTAGATGTCTGCTAGCTAGATAATTTACGGGTCGTTTGGTACAATGATAAATTAATAAGGATATCTCATGGGATTGGCACCTTTTATATTAGTGTAAAATTTATTCTAATATTAGCTAATATTTATAATCAAATACGGGATAAATACAATCTCAAATTCTATTTAGAATTCTTTTCTCATGCCTCGTAACAATCGTTCCCTAGATTATGGTGTCTATCTTAAATACGGTGATTGGTTACAACCTTTAGTAAGGATGTGAACTAGAGAGCTATATTAGGACTTGGAATTTAGGAGGTCAGGTTTATGTCCCCCTCCATTAATCTTCTCTTTTTGTAGTAATATACAAGGTAGGGGTCATGACCAAACTCTCTCTCCCCCATCATCTTAGGAGGTAAAAGTCTTGGTGAATATATTTAAATAAATAAAAAGGGTAGTATTTTGTCCACTATTTAATTGGATATCTACATTTTGTTAGATTTATCTGATTTTCTTATTATATTTGGATTTTTATTTTACTTGGAGGAATGATAGAATATTTATCATAAAGTGATTTAATTTTCCTAAAAGGAAAATATAAATATCTTTCGTAGTTGACAAATCTCTTTCTTGTAGGAAAATATTATGGAATGCTAAAAATTAAGGAGAGTTTTGTTTAGGGAAAGAATTTATTCTCTTATTGATGTAGGTCAATTACCAAACCATATTAAAGTATATTGTCGCTTTTAGTATAATTCTCTTCGTCGTCTGATTTATCGTCATTAAAATTTATGTTGTTAGCTACGCCTTATTATTTCGCCCCCAACATTTGTCTTGTTTTAATTGGTACCGGAAATACTCATTTTCCTAAAGTAAAGCTCCTTCTGTCAAATACATCATAATCAACAGAAGTATACTCCATAGGTACTTCATATGTCCATAGTTGTTCTACTATACAAATTTATACTTATTCTTTCAAAAATTAAAAGCAAATAATGACGTAAAATATTCTCTTTATCAAAATTTGAAACATTCACATTAAAAAACTGCGTTGTTATTATCTGTGAAAAACGAAATTAGAATATTGGAATTAGAACGTTGAGAGTTCTTTAATGCTCTCTTTACCTTGTATGGAATATCTCAAAAGATGTTCATCCAGATTTATCTTGTAATATTATTTGAGATTTGAGATATTACACTCACTTTCTTTATTTCAATTTTTTCTTTGTTTCAAATCAAATGATAAAAGTCTTGCAATGGGACCTATATAAATCAATCAAGCACAAAATATCACAATTATTTCATCTTTAGGACAAAACGCATTTTTCTGATTGGCCTTAATGCCTTTATATAGTCCCTCTTTCTCAGCATCATTTCTCTAGCTTTTGAAAATGGTGATTAAGAAACATTCGAGATGATCCAGATGGGACACTCTTACAGTCCATTCCAATTTCCTGCAAAATTCAACGTGGATTTCAGGTAATTGAGAAACAAGATTCAATTCTTCAGCTGTTCAGTTGATAAATATATTTAATGAGGTTTCAGTTTGAAACCAGCTCAAAACTCACCAAAACTGAAAATGGGGTTTTTATTATCTTCTTTGAAGACAATTCATATTCTTGTTTTGGTATGAGCTTGATAAAGCTTGTAGATAAGTTGTTTTCTTATCCTCTGTCCCATTGAATGGAAACAGAAAAATGATTATCTAATTGCTGATATTGGTATTATTCTTTTGGTAATAACTTAAATTTTGGAGGATTGCTTTTTGACCCTGTTTGGCAACAACATCTGACGTATTAATCCCATTTAAAGAATCTAATTAATTGGCGAGATTGACTGAATTGTAACTCTGATTATTGTTATCTAATTGCTGGGTTTATTCTTGTTGTATAAGAGCTTATAAACTTTGAGAGTGATTTGCTTTCTGTTTGTGTTTTTTTAGTGTAAAACTCAGATTTGGAGTAGTGTCCTCAAGAGAAGAGAACATCCAAATTAATGGGGTAGGTTGTTATTTTTGGGATGCTACTAATAATGAATGAAAGCGATCAAATTATGATTATGCAAGTAACTTTTTGTAAAATTGAGTTGTTTGTCTTTTTTGAGTGATAGGGCAAGAAGGTACCATGTGGAACTACTCGCATGAAATTTTAAGGAAGCTTCTTGTAAATTGTTGGAATCTGTTGACAATTATATAGCTTGGAAGCTTCCTACTTTCACATTCAGGTTTGATCAATTTTGTTGTGTCATCATTCTTCAGGTAACCATGTTATCTTCCAATTGGAAACTGGTAAATCACTTAGAAGGACATTAGTCGAGCTAACATTTCCCCGTCAAAGCGATAAAGCCATGTCTGCGTACGGGCATATGATGGAGGGGGAATTTTCTGCTCAAAGTCTTTCAACCAGAGGAGGTTCAGGTGTGCATCCTGCTTTCTTTTTCTGATTACAATTGACTATATACTGCACTAGGGTCTTAGCAAATCTTATAAAAAAGGGCAGCCCGGTGCACTAAGCTCCCGCTATGCGCGGGATCCGAGGAAGGGTCGGATCATAAGGGTCTATTGTACGCAGTCTTACAATGCATTTCTGCAAGAGGCTGTTTCCACGGCTCGAACCCGTGACCTCCTGGTCACATGGCAACAACTTTACCAGTTACGCTAAGGCTCCCCTTCTTAGCAAATCTTATACTGAATGCTAAAATTTCATCAAACACATTATTTGGCTCCCAAATGAACACACCAGTATAAGAGGGTTGCACAAATAATATAAAGTGAGTAGAATATCATTCCACGAGAATTTGGAATTTATGAACTACGACTAATTCCTAGGATTTATAAACTTGCTCTATTCAATCTCATTGCAATCCTAAACCTACTTTTTCAAGTTCGAATTAAGATTCATACCCAAGGTACTAAAGTATTTCCCAAAACATTGAAAAGACAAAATAGCCCTTAAAAGCTCATTTGATGCCCTCAAGGACATAGCGTGTCACGATGGAAAAGTATAATGTCATAGTGGCTCGTGCTAGTTTTGGTGTGGCACACTACGCTGCACAACTTGGTAGAATGGCCAATAACTTTGCGTAGGAGAGTCCAAATGATGAATCGTTTGAATAGCTGGAAACTAGACTTTGAGAAATATGATATTGATTGAGGAATCCTGACCAAATTTCCTATATATTGAGAGTAATACTCTGTTGAACTGAGGTAATATATATTACTTTGAATTGAAAAAAATTCTCATTACCTACACATATATGATAAAATAACATGAGATATACACACAAAACACCAGAAAATATAGCAATTTTAGAAGTATATGACTAATTACATATACTTTTGGCTCATCAACATCTTGTTTTTGGTCTGATGAAGTTGAAGTTAGACTGAGGGCCTGATGAGTGCAAAACTGTCATCGTAATCTTCCAATTTGGAGTGAGAGCCTCAAATCATGTCATCTCTTTCTCACAAGTTTAAGTAATAGCTCCAAATGATAATCATTTACTCGTGACTTGTTGCAGAAGTAGGAAGCCATTATACTCTGGAGACGGGGCTTTACATTACTTCTTTTGCTGCCACAGTCCTCATTGCTGGACTTGTGACAGTTGGCGTTTCGCTAATGACCCTATTGATTACATTGGCTGTAATGTTGCGGTCTTGTCAAACTCAGAGTGCTGGTGTTGTTGAGACCTGGAAATCCACCGATGATTATAACTATTGCAAAACTTTTGTTCTGCATGCGGAACTAAATCTTTTGCCTTCAGCTTCTTTCCCAGCAATTTGCAAAAGCCTTGCTGTTGGTTACATTAAAGACGGTCACTACCTGAAAGACTTAAATATTACAGTTGGATTGGCAGAGCAATACTTCAGTAATCTCAAACCACTTCCTGATGGCTGTGACGTTGTGTTGATGGACATTGATGACCTCTTGCCAGAAGATTCTTTCTATCCCTACCAAGTGCTACATCGGTAATGTTTTTAATTCTTGATATGATGGTCTTTTCTTATGCTCATCCTAGTAGTCGGCATTATCACTAACACTACATTATCTCAGTTGAGTTGGCATTTGTAAATTGGAACTACAAAATTTTGCATATACTTTATGAAACCAGCTTTCCGATTTATTGACACTGAAAAATCAGCTTAAGATGCCCTTAGCAATGCACTGTTCTGGGAATTGTCTACAGTACAATCGGTAGGATGTTAACCTAGATGCGTGTTAAAAGATTACATTTCCTCTGGGTTTGGGATAATTAGATTCAAAGAGCTATTTATTTTCTTGTCAAGAATGTCTTTACTTGCTTTGATGTTTTCTCCAAGTCGGACAGGATATATTTAACCTGCTGAAAGTTTTCTGCATAAGAATCTATATTGCTTTGAAGTTCTTTTGTTCTCCAGAGTATAGATTGGAATCAGTACTAGTACATTATCACTTTCATTCGCCTTTGTGATCTGACAATAGAAACCTCTGATTAACTGTAACCCCAGAAGACCCTAAGAGAACAATATTCTTGTACCTGGCTTGAGTTGACCAACAGATTGGTATTCCCAACTACAACAAATTAACATACTTATTCTTATCCAGATTCAAGGAGCATGTTTGTAGTGATTGCATTGAAGATGTGAAATACCTGAAGCACCTATTTTTTCGACAACTGTACCTGATACTTAAAGATGGTGGGTGGAAACTGATTTTCTTGTCTAGGAAGACTGAGAGACTACATAATACCACAGCACAATACCTTATTTCTGCTGGATTTGGTGGATGGTCATCGTTAATCATGAGGTATTGTTGCTTCCTGAATTACTCGTTCATAACTTTCAAGAATGAATGATCACACGGTTTAATACAATAGATGAATATCTTTTAGCAGATCTTATTTAAATCCAAAAATCCTCCTCGCATATTATGTTTTGGATGTAATACTGTATTTTTTATAATCAATCTTTAGGTCTAATGGGATGCTAAAAGTCAATTAATAAGGTGTTAAAAATGTCATAAGTATGATGAATTTACACAATTACATGACTGCCACCTATCAATACATCAATCAGAAGATCATGCAGTTTAAATTTCTCTATATGTCTTCTCTTATTTGCATTTTTCACTAAATTATTGTTTCTCCTTATTTTGTTGATCTTTCATAGATGGTAATGCTATTGCAGAACTGATAATGAACTGCAAATGGACCTACCTGAATATTTTTCAGTTGGAAGAACTATACTGCAAAAGGAAGGATTTCGGATCGTTGCTGTGATTAGTAGCCAGATGGATGCTTTAACTGGCTCATCTTTAGGAAGACGTGTTTTCAAGCTTCCAAACCCGAATTTTTATTTTCAAACGGGGCATTATACTGAAATCAGAGATGTACTCAAGTAAACTCTGCCGAAGAAAATTTTCTTAGGATATGCATATATAGCGGAACTATGTCTCAACTCTCAACTACATACAGAATTTGGCTTGCAGCTTGCGTAAAGAGGCTATTGTTGATATGTCTTGGTTGGATCCTGATGGTTCTACTCTTCATTTTTTGTAATTTGTATATATTTTACTGCTGATTTGCTCTTAGTGACTCCGCGATTTTTAGCGTTTTAGAACTTTTTCTTCATCTATTTTATTTCATTGCCTGTATTTATTATATTTGTAATGAATTCATATCGTCGATCCAGGAATGTAATATCACCGAGCAAGCTGATTGTATTCCTACACTAAGCTTCTTCAAGTTAGAGAATATTTCCATGTATTCCTTCTTCAGGAATATATTTTGTGCTAAAAGTTGAAGTTTGCTCTAAGTCTTTATTGTATTTAAACATTGAATGCACTCTTCAGTTCTATAATTTAGCTTGACCTGTGAAAGTTGAACTATAATGACACTCTTGATTTTAAGTTTTTAATTGTTTAACAAAGATGGTCTATCTTGTGTCTTCCAATGCGGAATATGATGTCCTGTTTCACCAATGATTTCTGTTAATGAGGTGTTTAATTAGTTTGTCAGCAAAGTGTAACTTTAAAAACAGAACAAATACAAAGGAATCGAATGATTTAACGTGTACTAAGTATATGGATTCATATTGCGACTAAAAAATAAGACATAAGAAAAGTAGAAGCTTTCCGGTCGTTGATAACTCGTTTTACATGCGATCTACTAGTAGCTTCTTAGTTGCCATTTGGAGGATATATATATATATATATATATATATATGTCCACTTTTAAGTTATAGAGTAAATTTCAGGTTTAATTGATTAGAATAATAGGTATTTGTATCAAATCGAACATGATAACCTTAACAAATCTATAATAATCGGTGAGTTATGGTAACCTAAAAATAATGGCAAAGCCATAAATGATTCTATAAAGGAATTCAGAAAAATACTATAATATCACATCTATCTGAACTTAGAAGCTAAAGCAATCTTTTAGTTCCCTAATTTTCCTTCATGTCAAATAAGTTCAACCGTCTATATATATTTATATAACAGAAAAGTTATTTGTGCCTTTTTAGACGGTTTAAAAATGTAATCATTCTTATTCACAAAACCATATTTTGGTTAAACTTGTAAACCACTTTGGACGCGTGGCTCTCTAGCTTAATGTCCATTATTTCGACTGAAATGGCCATTTTTCAAATTGACGTGGAATCATGGGATGAGGGTTCACAAGCTTTTCCCTACAACCTCAACCATCAAATCATTTTCTCCTCCCTCTTGTAACCGCCAGAGTACCCTGCAACCGTATTGAACCAACTATTGCTAACATGCGCTGATACGTACCCTACGCTTTCTTCTCTCTTTCCCTCTAATTCTGCAATTAGCTGAATGAATAATAAAGTAAGCAAAAATTTCACTCCAAGACCTCACGTTTTCAAAATGCTTCCCTCCTTCAAAACTCCCCTTCTCTCTCTCTTCATCCTCTCTCTCTTACTCTCCCCTTCCGCCGCCGTACCAACCACCACTGTCGGCTTCACCTACTCCCCTGCTCCCAACTCTCCACCGCCGGAGCACGTCGTCACCGCCCTTCAGTCACTCAAAATCCCAGCCGTACGCCTCCTTAATCCCAGCCCTACGTTAGTCCGAGCATTTTCCTACTCCAACATCTCTCTTCTCCTCACCGTCCCCAACTACCTCGTTGGCTCCTTCGCTTCCAATCGCTCCGCCGCTACTCTCTGGGTTTACAACAATGTGCTTCCGTTTCATCCTCGTGCTCGTATTTCGCTCATCTCCGTCGGTTCCGACGTCATCACTTCCCCTACTTCCGGCGGTTCTGACCCTTCCGCTGCCGTAGTCCCCGCCATGCAAAACTTGCACCGCGCATTGAACGACCTCGGAATTCGCACCGTCTCAGTTTCCACTACTTTCTCCTTCATCAACGTGATTACGACGGCGTTTCCTCCTTCCTCCGCCGAGTTCCAGGAGCCGGTCAGCTCGCTAATCATCAGGCCTGTGCTTCAGTTTTTGGAGGAAACTAACTCGTCTCTCCTGGTGAATGTGTATCCGTACAATGTTTATAGGCTCCACGGAGAGATTCCAGTCGGTTTCGCTCTGTTTCAGGAAGGCCCGTTCAACTTTCGTGATGACGTTGTTACGGCCGTTCGTTATCATAACCTGTTTGATATGATGATTGATGCCGTGATTGCTGCCATGGCGGTTAGCGGTTACGAGAATGTTCCGTTAATTGTGACGGAAACAGGGTGGCCAAGCGATGGAAGCAACTATGAGCATGTGAATAATGGTGTAAGGGATGCAGAGGAGAGCCAGCTGTACGCGGAGATGTATTTACAGGGGCTGGTTTCGCATTTGAAATCTGGACTTGGAACTCCGCTGAGGAAGGAAGGAGTTTCTGAGGCTTACATTTACCAGTTGTTTGATGAAAGTGAAACGAAGCAGCAGAGCAATTTGAGTAGTGCTCAAGGTGAAATTACAGGGCAGTACTGGGGAGTGATGTACACCAACATGAGCATGAAGTACAACATCAATTTTGACAGTGCTGATCGGAATTCGAGAAAGCTTGGTGTACTTGTTCCCTCAATTCATCTTCTGTGGCTTCTTTCTATGCTTGTTCTAGCTTCATCGCTCTCATGAATAGTAGTGGAAAAAGTCATGCTTAGTTTCTTGATGTTAATAATTGATTGCATGCGGAGGGAAACTTAACTGTAAGAAATAGTATAATTTTCCTTATTGAACAAAATCTATGATTCTTGCTTCCATATTAATCTGATGGTTGTATGCATATCAAGGATACTTGTGCTATACGTAAAGATTGCTGTTGCTTCTCCTTGCATTTCAGATCTTTGTTGGTTTACCAAGGGTTTTCTTCTGATATGTTTTAATGCCTTTTCAGTTTTGTCTTTCATGATAATTGGTTTACATAGATATTGATCCCTTCACGATTACTGATTCTTGCTTCCAATGTCCATACACATCAGACTTCTGTTTGGAAGTTGTAAGATTTATAACTCTCAGAAACAGCTGAAAAAGTGAACATTGTAGCCATAATTGAGACAAGATAGAATATTTACTGTACATTACAGCAAAATAAGCTTAAGTAGATGAAAAATCATACAATAAATATGAATTACTGAATTTTGACTACACAACTAAACTTGAAAGTATGTGCCCATAGATAACTAACTATTTACATGGACGCCAAATCACTTTCAATCCCTTCGTCTGATAGATAGTTGAAAAGCATAACAATCTCATCATTGAACGACCCCCCAATAGACAATTGTTTCTACCCAAACAATTCTCCATTACCCTCAACTCTATGTAGGAATGAAGAGCTAACGGGCGAGTTATGTAGAGTACGGAAACTGATGCAAGAACTAAATGTATACTTCTCCAAAATGTCTCCCTCAGCAACTCAAAAGGCCAAGTATGTATTCAAGTCCAGCAAGCCACTAACCATTAACAGCTCCCTGCAAACAACATTAACAGACAGAATACAAAAAGTCCTGTCTTTATATCATTAACTACACCAACTTTCCGCACACCATTGTATCAAGAAGCCACAAGTATTACACGCTTTCCCCAATTTATATGACTTGCTTTCTATTTTGAATGTTTCAAAATATTTGAATAAAATCATTTTAAACATCTTTCATAGTTTCAAATTTTCAAATTGTTTAAGTTTCACCTCTTTTCATCAAACTAACCCTTTAATTATCACAACTAATTAATACGTGATCAAGTGAACATGCTATCAAATGCCTTTTCATAAGTTGGGATAGAGGAAGTATTTAAAAACCAACCATCACATAGAACCTGAATATTGATTTAATAGATCATGGCATCATTGGCAAATTATTAAGAAAAAGCAGATGCACAGGCTCATTATGCAGCACAAAACTGGCTAAGATAGCTGATGCTTCCACCTAATATAAGTGCAAAATATTAATCTTGAGTGTTTGTGATAAGCCTCAGGTCATAAAAACTAATTCCATGAGGGCCAAAAGTAACAAATTGAAAACTTAGTAACTGTCTGTTGACAGTTACTCATGTATTGGGCAGTTTTATCTGGAGAAAGAAGGAAGCTGTAGGGGGAAAAAATATTCAACAGAAAAATAAAGAATCCTTGGGAGAGTTCTAGCCTCTCGAATGTCTAGAAATTTCATGTCTCGTAATCTTAGTAATATGTATTTTGGCTCTGTGTCGCTAGTATTGATTTCAGTCATTTTCTATTCAGTCTATAATGTTATATGCTGTAATTTAGGAGTTATCAGTGTTGCAGTGGTTATTCTCAGACTTTGTTGAAGTAGATTCTGTGTTTTTCAGTGTAAAACATTAGTATTTCTTCCTGTTATTTTCTATTTGTGCAGTAAACTCTATTAATTTGGTATCAGAGCGGTGACGTTCGGGCATGGTAAGGAGTAAAATGGAGGGACGAGTTGAGCAAGTGGAAACTAATTTGACTGGGGTAAGAGAAGATGTTAGAAGGCTGGAAGGATGGTTCCAAGAAATAAGAGAGTCTCTTGCAAGAATTGAAGCACAAGGGAGAACTGTGATTGCAGAAGCATCCACTTCTCAAACCAGAACTTTGGGAAGCCAAGAAGAGGGAAGTAATGTTAACTTGACTGGAGAAAAAGATGGGAAGAAATTTCGGAAACTACAACTACCGGTTTTCGAAGGAGAGGACCCTATGGGATGGATTTTTAGAGTGGAACGATACTTTGCAGTGAATGAAGTTTCTGAAGCAGAAAGATTGCAGGCAGTCGGTGTTTGTTTAGAAGGAAAAGCCTTAAATTGGTATTATTGGTTAGAGTCTAGACAACCAGTTCCAACCTGGGAAGACTTCAAAAGAGATCTGCTGAACCGATTTCATCATTCGCGAAAGAGCAACCAGTATGCCGTCTTAATGGGGCTAAAGCAGAACACCACTGTTGCAGCATTTCGTGAAGAATTTGAGAAGGTGACAGGTTCTATGAGGGAGGAATCTGATGGACTGTTATCTGGAGTGTTTTTGAATGGTCTTAAAGAGGAAATCCGAGCAGAAGTGATGCTTTTGCGGGCTCAAACATTGAGGGAGATAATGGAGATGGCTCAAAAGGTAGAGGATCGAAATTCTATTTTGGAGCAAGTTCAGGTGTTTAATTTTGAACAAAATAGAGGCAGTTCAAGCAACAAACAAGTTGGATTTAGACCCAATTACTCTCGGGTCACAAACGTACTTGAAGCACGTGATTCAAGAGCCGGAGCAGTAGGACGCAACATTGATTCGCAATTGCATGCTTCAGCAAAGCCAACTGACTTCAACGTGTCTTCTACAGCAAAATCTGAGGGACGAAGGTTGTCTGATTTAGAAATTGCCCGAAAAAGGGAGTTAGGATTAAGTTTCAGATGTGACGAAAAATTTGGCCCTAACCATCGTTGTAAGAATAAGCAACTTAACCTATTGATTGTTTCAGAGGCACCTAACACAGAGGAAGAGGAAACAGAAGAATTCTTTGAGGTCGCCGGAGAGGCCGCAGATGAAGGAGAACAAAAGGCTACTATGATGGTGTTGAATATGAATTCGGTTGTGGGCCTTACTGAAGAAAGATAAATGAAACTTGTGGGAAAAATTCATGGGCAAGACGTGATAGTTTTGGTGAACAGCGGAGCTACCCATAATTTTAAATCTTCCAACCTTGCTCGTCATCTGCAATTACCTATTGAGAAGACCAACAAATTTGAAGTAACAGTTGGTAATGGTCAACAAGTCAGTGGGAATGAAGTATGCAAAGGGGTGAGGTTGGACGTGCAGGGAGTAAAAATTCACCAACAATATTTTCTGTTTGAATTAATTGGAACTGATGTGATATTGGGGATGGAATGGTTAGCCACTTTGGGTGAGATGAGGGTAAACTGGAAACTTCTTACCATGAAATTTGAAGATGCAGGAAGAATGGTGTTGCTTCGGGGGGATCCAGGTATGGTTCGGACAGTTGTTTCATTAAAAGCTATGAACAATTTGCTAAAGAAAGGGAACCAAAGATTCTGGATTGAGTTGAATCAGGTAGTACATGAAGGTGAAACAACTATAACATCAAAGGAGATTGAGGAGTTGTTATCTGATTATCCAGGAGTATGTGAGCAAGCTTCAGGTCTACCACCAAGTCGTTCTCGGGATCATGCTATTACTATTAAGTCCGGAACACAACCACCAAACATTCGTCCATATCGATATCCTCATTCTCAAAAAGTTGAGATCGAGCGTTTGGTCAAAGAGATGATGGCTGCTGGAATCATTAGGGCTAGTACTAGTCCATATTCTAGTCCGGTATTGCTTGTTAAGAAAAAGGATGGATGTTGGCGTTTTTGTGTGGATTATCGGGCTCTTAATGACATACAAATGCATTGATGAGCTACTTGATGAGCTAGGGGGAGCCACCATATTTACCAGGTTGGATCTCAAGTCGGGATATCATCAGATTCGCATTCAAGCTGGAGATGAAGCGAAAACAGCTTTCCGCACCCATGAGGGACATTATGAGTTCATGGTCATGCCATTCGGCTTGACCAATGCACCCTCGACTTTTCAGTCATTGATGAACCATATTTTCAGGGATCATTTGCGGAAATTTATTTTAGTATTCTTTGATGATATTTTGATTTACAGTAAAGACTATGCTTCTCATCTTGAACATTTGAAGGTTGCTTTAGATATTCTCAAACAGAACCAACTGGTAATCAACAAACTTGAATACTTGGGCCATATCATCTCCTCTGAAGGAGTACAGGCAGATCCCTCCAAGATTGAGAGCATGATATCTTGGCCAGTTCCAAGAGATATCACGTCTTTGCGGGGATTTTTGGGACTCACTGGGTACTACCGAAAGTTTGTCAAAGACTATGGTAAGATTGCTGCCCCATTAACAGATTTATTGAAGAAAATGCTTTTTTGTGGGGGGAACGAGCTCAACAAGCATTTGAGGCATTGAAGTTGGCTATGACTCAAGTACCCGTCTTGGCGATGCCGGATTTTTCTCAACCATTTGTAATTGAAGCTGATGCTTCGGGATTTGGTGTTGGTGCAGTTTTAATGCAAAAAGGTAAACCTATTGCATATTTCAGTAGAATGCTTTCTTCTAGAGCAAGACAATGCTCGGTATATGAACGGGAGCTAATGGCCATTGTGTTGGCCGTCAAGAGATGGAATCACTACTTGATGGGTCATCATTTCATCATTAAAACTGACCAGAAAGCCCTTAAATTTTTGCTGGAACAACGAGTTATGGATGAGAATCAGCAGAAATGGGTTTCCAAACTCATGGGTTATAAGTTTGAGATCAAGTACAAACCGGGTGCTGAAAATAGAGTGGCTGACGCACTGTCCAGACGCGGGGAATCTGCAGAGTTATATGCCTTTTCGGTTTGGAAGTACGAAGACAAGGAGGAATGGGACCAAGAAGTAAAAAGAGACAGTAAAATGGCTTCTATCTTGCAAAGGCTAATTACAGGACAGCAAACAGACGACAAATACAGCTTGTAGAATGGATGTCTACTGTTCAAGGGACGTTTGGTTTTGCCAAAAGGATCATCCAGAATCCCAGGGTTGATGAAGGAGTTTCATTCTTCTCCAATAGGTGGCCATTCAGGGTATCTTCGCACATATAAGAGGCTGTCTGAAAATATTTACTGGGAAGGTATGAAAAGGGATGTGCAAGACTTCGTTGCCAAGTGTGAAATTTGTCAAAAGAATAAGTCTCAAACTTTGAGTCCAGCCTGATTACTTCAACCTTTACCTATACCTCAGCATGTGTGGGAAGATGTAAGTATGGATTTCATTACTGGTCTTCCTAAATCCCATAAGTTTGACACTATAGTGGTTGTGGTAGACCGTCTTACTAAGTACGCACACTTTATCCCACTTTCTCATCCTTTTAATGCTAAAGATGTGGCTGCTGTTTTTGCTAAGGAAGTGGTTAAGTTGCATGGTTTTCCTAAATCTATTATGTCTGATCATGACCGTGTGTTCATTAGCCAGTTTTAGAGGGAGTTGTTTAAAATGGCAGGAACTACATTACGCTATAGCTCCGCATATCATCCAGAGAGACTGATGGGCAGACGGAAGTGGTGAATAGAGTTTGGAGGCATATCTTCGTTGTATGGCTGGAGAAAAACCTAAGCAATGGCTCCATTGGCTAGCTTGGGCTGAATATTGGTTTAATACGTCCTTTAACATATCTGCCGGCATAACACCCTTTAAAGCATTATATGGGAGGGGGGATCCACCATCGATTTTTCACATGGATGACACTGCTTCTGCAGTGGAAGAAGTAAATGAACAAGTTCGTACTAGAAATTTGATCTTAACTGAGCTCAAAAACCATCTAGTACATGCACAACAAAGAATGAAGAATCAAGTTGATTGACATCGCAGGGAAGTGAATTTTGAGGTTGGAGAAATGGTGTATCTCAAACTACGGCCATACAAACTACATTCTCTAGCTAAGAAGATTAATGAAAAACTCAGTCCCCGTTTTTATGGCCCTTTCAAGATTCTAGAGAAGATTGGTCCCGTAGCTTATCGGTTGGAGTTACCTGTTGGAGCACGCATTCACTCAGTGTTTCATGTTTCACAGTTGAGACAATGCTTGCAACCAACTACACCTACTCAAGACCTACCTCCGCTTCTTACAACATAATTGGAGCTTCAAGTTGAACCTGAAGCAGTGAGGCAGATCAGGAAGCTACTTAATGATAAATGGGAGGTGTTAATCAAGTGGAAGAACCTGCCTGAATTTGAGAACACTTGGGAGAACTATGCAGTCATTGATCTACAATTTCCTGACTTTCACCTTGAGGACAAGGTGACTCATATAGGGGTGGGTAATGATAAGCCTCAGGTTATAAAAACTTATTCCAGGAGGGCCAAAAGTAACAAATTGAAAACTTAGTAACTGTCTGTTGACAGTTACTCATGTATTGGGCAGTTTTATCTGGAGAAAGAAGGAAGCAGTAGGGGGAAAAATATTCAACAGAAAAATAAAGAATCCTTGGGAGAGTTCTAGCCTCTCGAATGTCTAGAAATTTCATGTCTCGTAATCTTAGTAATATGTATTTTGGCTCTGTGTCGCTAGTATTGATTTCAGTCATTTTCTATTCGGTCTAGAATGTTATATGCTGTAATTTAGGAGTTATCAGTGTTGGAGTGGTTATTCTCAGACTTTGTTGAAGTAGATTCTGTGTTTTTCAGTGTAATACATTAGTATTTCTTCCTGTTATTTTCTATTTGTGCAGTAAACTCTATCAGTTTGACTGAGATTATGCTCACTTTTCTCATGATAGTACAGAGGGAAACCTTTACCATTGCAAGCTGTTGTTCACTAAAGGAATGATGGAAAACTGTCAAGTCGGGATCATCCTTGTGCTTGTCCCAAACGGCTTTGAACTGCGAGCCCTTGGATCTTGACATTGAGGAGAAAAGATAATAAGAAAATAGATAACTCATGAAGCAGAGAAAAACTACAAAAAAAAGCAAATAACTCATATCACATGCAGGAGGAGAAAACAAAGGCATGGAGCATGATATTTACTGTTGGATCAAAATTATAGTCTGAAGAACAAGTTTTCTAATTTCTTCACGTGCAATTTTCAGCGCTGCCTCCTTGTATAGACTAACAAGCTCATCCACCAATCTGCATCACACCAACAGATACAATTTAAAGAAGCAAGACAAGAACACGTAGGAAGGTTCTACCTTAATATTAAAGCTCGGGATGTTAAACCATCATCAGTTAAGATGGTTTACGTATTGAAAAAAGAGGTCCTCAGTTTAGATGCAAAAATGGAATTCAGTACAAAAAAAGATGTTGGATAATTTTCGAGGTACTCCATTCTTCATATTCAAAGCAGATATAAGTAATATTAAAGGGTGAACCGTAGTTTTCCTTGTCCAATCGTAAATTTACCTTTCAATGTGTGGCGAATTCCTTATCCATGTCAACTTTACAACTGTTTTGATTAGTTCAAGAACCTGAAATAAAAATGAAGTACCACTAGTATGATCTCCAAACACAACATCTTGTACAAAAAAGTTCTGAAATGCAAATGAAGCTTCACTCTTATATATTTTAACATATCTGTTGACACCACTAAATTAAACTTAATCAGACTGAAGAAAAGGAAACTAGTAGAAAGGAATTCAGAAAAATTGTTCAGGATACAAAGTGGTATACTGTCAGATGTTCACAAAAGGTAGCAAGGCTGACTGATTTGAATGAATTTTATCACCTCTTACCAGTACAACAGTTCTGTCATCATCAGCATGCATCCACTTGAAGAAAAGGGGAAAAAGTCGCCTGAAATGAGCTAGCAGCACAAGACCAAGACCATTGAACAGTGGCTCAACATGCTGTAGCCATGCAATACGTCGCTCCTTGTTTCTTGGTTGCCTTTCCAAGTGACTCAACATCTCATTCAACATTTTTTCATACCTGTGCCACAATATTTTTGACTGGTATACATACTTGAAGCATAAAATAAAGGTAAAGATAGTATTTTTAGTAAAGGTAATATTATCGAGAACAGCACCAAATATTTTATCAGCCTCACCAACAATCACCTTTCGCATCGCAATATTCTAAGCTTAAGTTACTCAGTGATAGTAATGAAGTTGATAGATTAAAAAAAAAGGAAGAACAAGAAGGGATTCAGCACTAAAGAATAGAATGAAGAAAAGGTACTGAACAAGGACAAATTAAAGATATAGAACAAGAGGATCAAGAATCTGCAACCTGAAGTTGAACAAAGAGGAGAAGAATATTGTACCCGGAAAGGTTATTTGGAAGTACAGGCACATTTCCCAGGAGAGAAAAATCCTAGATAAGGTCGACTGCATGCTGGAAATCCATTTAATTAGTTTAATGTACAACTATATCTTTGTTATTGCATTTCTAGAAGAATGTCCACCCCACAGAAGTTTTCTGAATAGCTAATATGAAGGTACAGATACCTATTTTAATGTATATGACAATGTCATAAAACTTCAATGGAGTATCATACTAAATTAGGGATTTGCTGCATCACTAGCCCCTAGACAAAGAAGAAATTTTATTCAGATATCAGTTGGCCAAAAAGGACAGCAGTTAGGATACCAAAACAACTTTAAAATCTGACTTCCCAAATTAATTATTAAAAAGAAGAAAAAGAACTTGTAAATTTGACATTGATAAACTGTTCCGCATAGAGTTAACTCCAACAAGTAATAATTAAGGTAATTTTATCCCAAAAAGGAAAGAAAAAGAAAAAAAGCAAACTCTCACTTAATACTTAAGCAAACTGGAACATAGAAAATTATCCAACTTTTATTGGGGGCGGTCACAACAATTTTATAGCCAAGTTCTTTCTGCATTGCTGGCGAGACGTCATTCTTTTGAAGGATTACTGTTAAGAATTAAGCCACGAAGTACAAATTGAAAAACACATGATATGAATATGCTTCTGCATGAATCAACAGTAAAAGAAGGATCATGATTTAGCATTTCACTGATACCATTTTTGCCGCAAATTTATGAGTAGAATAACCATTCTTCTCTATCCATACATGTTTGAAAAATGTAACCAAGATTCAATATATAACAGATAGAGGGCGCTCTACCATATGCTTCGAGCATTACTTTTCTGGGTGAAAGTCACCATAAGTACAGACATTTGAACCACACGCTCCCATGTCTCATCATCGGAAGCAATATTTTGGCAGCAAGCATCAAGAATTACATCTTCATACCAACCAATCTCAGCAGCATTGACATTTTCTGCTAGATGTATTAAGCTAACCATGCCCTGTCCCTGAAGTGAGACAACAAAATTTTGTCAACAGCCTAATGAAAACAAAAATAGTAATTCTTGGTTATGAGATGCAAATGTATGGCAGACAATTTCCACTCGACTGTACCAATTGGAAATCCCGTTTTTATCTTGAAGATGGATTACATCATGCTCCAAAATAAAGAAAAGACTAAGAAGGCAAAACAAACAGAAAGAGGTGCTATCAACATTATAACAATCAGAAGTCTCTAATAGAGTATCTAACAACAAGCTTTGGAAAAGAAACTGAATACCTGATTCATTTGATGTTCTTTTTGTTGTCATCAGTTGTTATAAAGGTCAGATATAAGCCATATCTTAGAGGCACATAAAAGTTTAGTACTACCAAGCCAATACTTGTTTTAAAGTGTGCATTCCTTCTAACAGTTCACAATGTATTTCACCACATATCTCAAGGAAAACACAGTGACATAGGAATTTTGAAAAAGCAAAATTTCCACTTAGTATATCTCATCATCCAACTATTTTACAGTATTAGCTGACCACTGCAAGAATCAACTACTTACAGTATTTAGAGGGTTTAACTATTCTACAGTGATAAAGGAATATTAGCTTAGTTTTAACAAAGATCAACAAGTAGATTAGATATCTGACTGAAGCAGCAACAAATTTCTAAGACCAGTAATCATACAAAGAAGAACCCACCTTTACTTCAGACGACCAATGATCAAGAGCTGTTAAGGCACATGGAATCACCAAAGAGCACACTTTTCCTAGGTGAGGATAATCCACCTACAAACAATAAATCCAGAACATTATGCTTCATCTCAATAGAATACAAACCACAAATAAAAAAAATTCAAAATAAATAAATCTTCAAGTACCAATTTAGGATACACATACCTGAGAAATGAACCATCTAAATTGATAAGCGGCCACAATGGCGTATGCCCCTGGAACTCTAGCGCTTGCAGCTGATATCTCATCACCATCAATTGATTTATCTATCATGCTCTCCTTAATCCTGCCTTTTAGCAAAGGCAACACTTGAGGCATTAACTGTATGGCCAACATCTTCTCATTTGGCAGAGACTTCAAATCCCCATCCAGCTCGCCAATTTTCATCAACTCATTCCCACCAACTTTTCTAGCGTAAGCTTTAGATAGGTCTTTGAAGGCAGAGGCAGCAGCAATAGATAGCAAATTGGGAACCCAAGAGAGCTGATTGTGGGTGGATTCTGAGGTGGAAGCCAATGCAGCACAGCATAAGCTAAAATCCCTTATTTTGCTCTGCATTTCAGTTTCCGAGAGTTCTGAGTTGGATAGCGATTTGCTATAAGGAAGAAGAGACACTAGCATGGATTTGACAGAGACACTGGAACCCTCTGGAGGAGTATAGGGTGCCTTGGAGAGTGATTCTCTTATTGGTTCTGATAATCTATTATAGTTTTTAAAGGACACAGCGGAACTTAATCAAACTATTCACACAGAACACAAGAAAAAAAGAACAGAATGAAGACAGAAAGAATGGTCGTACAGAAGCAGGTCTTCAATGAGAACTTTGAGAGACTTTGACATCCTTCGCGCGGTTTAGATCTTCTCTCTGCTAATTGCTAGGGCTCGAATACTTTAACTAGTCCTCTGTCACCATGACAACCTGTCCATTTTTTGTTTGTGAATTTAGATTGTTCCAAAATACTTTGGGTGAGAACCACGAACACGCTAAATTACTCTTACTACCAAAAACCTGCCTAGGTGTAATACTAATGGTATTTCTTTCTTTTTCACTGAAATGATAATTATAGTATTACTTTTTCAAACAAAGTAAAGTGATGGAAAAAAGTGAAATTAATGAATTATCACTTGTGGAGGGCAAACAGTTGCCAAACTTGTAAAGATAATTAGCATACAAGGAAAGGGAAAAGAGAGACTAATAGGTGAGAAGTTCGCTTGTTGAGATACCATCATACCAGTAATACATACGAAAACTGCTTTCAGTTTAAAGCCCTAAAGTTTTTTTACAGGAAAATAATTTAGTTGTTAAAACAAATACATTATATGAAAACAATCACCAAAGAGACTTGAGGTTGGCCTGGTGGCAATTGACTTGAGCCTTGGGGTTTGCTCCCTTTCAAGGTCTCAAGTTCGAAACCCACTGGGTGCAAACAATTTCTGAGGGCCATCGGACTGGGTAAAACCTGAATTAACCGTGGAGCACTTGCGGGAAACTCCTTGCCGGGGGCCTGTGCACCCCCGGGATTAGTCGGGGCTCAAAGAGACTCGGACACCCGGTGCAAAATCAAAAAAATGAAAACAATCACCAAAAAAAAAAAGAATACATAACATGAAAGACTTATTTTGGAATAAAAATTAGAAGAAAAACATGTCATTTTGAAGTAGAAGCAAAAGAAGAACGAAAGAAATACACCAACAGTGAACAACAAATGATATATGCCTACATGATCGAAGAACATATACGTTTTGTATGAGATATGCAAGACTCCTTCTGCTTGGGAAATTCTAAAGCATAAGAATACAGAAACTATTGAAAGTATCTACCTATTATTAATGAAGAAACTTATACAGACAGCAGAACGCAGATGTTATTATTAATGAAGAAACTTCTACAGACAGCAGAATGCAGATGTTTTAGGTACCTCCTAATTCGGTGTAACCTATGTCTACTACATATTTCATAAAGCATTTGCAGTTCATCATTCATTACCTTAACATCAGCCAAACAAAGAACCCGCAATACATGAAATAAAGATGTATGTAGCTATTGGATTACATACCATTATAGTGACAGACGTATGCACTGACAGTAAAGAACCAATTGTGAAGTCAGATTATAAACATCGGAAAGCAATGTCGGAATAGGAATGGATCAAATTATAAGCAAGAACAATGTGATTCCCACAGCCACGACTCCAACATGGAAGACTAGGTATTTTATAATGAATCAAGATTCTGAACATTGTCATTAGCACTGCTGAGTGCACATAGTATATGTGGAAAAAGCATGAGAAAAAAGAACCTACTTGACTGACATTATACATATATAGATTAATTATGTTAAATAAGCAAAATGACAAAACAAAATGTGTTCTTATTCCCAAGTGAGTGACGCTGAATTCATATTTGTCCACTTGATTGTTCAGCAGGTAAAGAGAACCATATGCAATTAGGCTTGACTCAAGCTGTTGCAGGACGTGAAATGTGTATTCAAGTACAAAAAAACTTCCTTTATCATATGAATAAAACTTGATCTGTTTGTTTTAGAAACAAGTTATGTAAAGATTGTAATACGGAGATTGATAATGCTGAGATTATTTTTTATCGAGCTTGGTTCATTGCATTAATAATTGAATATACAAGTAATAATCTAAAACATGTGTTTGGTATTAAGTGGGATAAAGTTTTGTTTACAATTATACCCTTGTCCTTTTACTACCAGTGTACTACAAATTTCTAACTCGGAAAACATCAAGTAAGACACTTGCTATACATATGAATTTAATACAAAGACAGCTAGAATTAAGTAAAAACGAAGGCAGCGGCAATACAAAAATATAAAACATATTTTTATAGCACAGGGAACATAAGGAGAAAGAAAAACCTAAGAAAACTCACAGGCATCAACAAACCCCACCTTCAGAACAAGCAGCAATCTCTGTTTGCAAGAAGCAAACTGATATAGATGAAGCAAGTAGTTGTTTCTTGCAACTAGGTGATGCACGATTGAAGTAACCCAACTAAAAGGCAGGTCTCTGGTTGAATTAGGTGGTGGAAAAGTAACTGAAAAGTTTGAGAAGAAGGGCTGCTACAAAGAATTCAAGACTATTTTGGTCTCTTAAGGGGTCGTTTGGTATGAGGTATAAGTAGATATAGTGCTGGTATAAAATTTTAATACCCCCTTAATACTTTGTTTGGTTAGCAAACCTGGTATAAGTTATCCCGGGATTAAAATTAGAACCGGGATAACTTATACCTTGTAGGGGGTGGGGCAATTAGTGCTGGGATAACTTATACCTTCTTCTTAGAAATTATGCAATTATTATTTTTAATACAACATACCAAACAGTGGATAAAAAACAATACCAGGATAACTTATCCCAGCATAAGCCGTATTCAAACCAAACGACCCCTAAGTACTTAATCCATGTTAAGTTAATACAGGGATAAGTTATACCAAGTTGAAATCAGCATAAAGCTATACATAAATTGCTGTATTAAGTTGTAAAGGTATTGCTTATACCACAAGTGAAGATGCTAACCAAACATGGTACAAAGTAATACCAGAAACTACACGATGATTATTTTCCCTAATTTCTCACACCAAACGGCCTCAATGTACAAAGGCATAATCAAAGACAGAGTGCTTACAAAGAATGGCTCTGGAATCAACGGAGAAGCGCCAAGAGAACTGAAAGAGTTGGAGTATAGTAGCACAGGGTTATAGCGTGTGGGCTGCAACCCATATTCGACCCGCTATATAACCCGTTAGGCCTGCTTTGGAAAGCTTTTTAAGTATGGGATGGGCCCAACTTTAACTCGTTGGATACTGGTTTTGGTGAGGATACTGGTTTTTTGAATTAAAAGAGATAAAAGAGTGTCTACCAATCCCAATTTTTCTGTATTTTCGATGTTTGACAGTATAAAGCACATGATGTCATTTACAGGCATTGTAAGGAAATTTGGCCATGTGGCCTAGACTTTATAAAGTAAAATGGCTTCACCATATCTAAATATCCATTTACACTAGCTAAATAAAGAGGGCTTGTATTTTGAGTAGTTGCATAAATGCAGGTGAGCTCCACATAAATTGTTAGGAAGAATGGAAAAAATGCATTAAACACAACTGCCAAGTGTGTGTCCTTACATATTCTAAAAGCGCTTAACGAGCTAGATCCAGATATAATATCCATCAAGAAAAAGCGTCAAACTGTACTTCATATCACTGTTGAAGGTCAGGATAGTTCTGTGATCGAGGAAATACTAGATACTGACAACTAATATTGATTAAGCGTGGCAAGAAGGGCAACACAGCTTTGCATATATTCACATGGAAATGTCATCCACATGTATCTTTTTATTTTGTTTCTTAAGGTTATGATACGACTCTTGCTATTCTTAACACATTAAAGACCTGCACTCATTTCTGGATGACGAAGTTAAAACTCAAATTTTGTAGCACCCAATTTCCTAAACATTGCATTATATTCATTTCTAAGGATTGAGTTCTTGAACTGTCAATACTTTTATTTTTCATATTATTGTTAAATAAAATGGTTAGTAGAGGTTTATTCTAGATAAATTGCCTGGAGAATGATATAAATTTTTCTTATAAAAAAATAGAGAAGGAAAAATATTATTGGTTGCAACATTGCAGTAGATGACTGGTGTAAGGACCTCTGGATGCACTGTTATTTTAAGTTGGGGACTAATTGGTACTCATAGGCAGACAACACTATATGGATTAACTTCCTTATATTATAGCTCCAATGGTCTTTAAATTTGTACTCATTGGTATGTGAATTTATGTGCTATATTTATATTTCATAAAATACAACAGCATGGTTTATATGTGCATTTCAATATAGCTATCGAATGAGAATAATTTTCACAGAATTGACCTCGGTAAAGACTTGAAACATGGAGACTTTTTGAAGGTACTGTAATAAAACTTCTAATATGCTGCTGTGTTAGAAAGGCAAAGGTTGGCTACAAAGCTGGGTGGATAGTTTGCGTCATAGCAAATGAAAAAGTAAGATGTATTTGTAATGCGCTTGAGAATGCATACATTTACTACATCTTTGGGTATTATATCTATACTATTTAACTATATATGATTGAACTGAATAGCTTTAGAGACGTATAATATATATATATATATTCTGCAATATTGTACATAAAAGTGTCGTATTATGCACAATCATGGTACATAGAAGTCTTCTGCTATGGTTCAGGAAGCTCAGAACATTGACATGTCACTTTCAGCTCTAGCAGATGTAATATCTGCTATAGAATAGAAGCATCCACAATCTATATAGGTAGCTTCTAATCTTTGATGTATGTAGGTTACAATTGAGTCATTTGATATTCACCAAGGTTCATTAGGCAATCAAATAGTTCTTTTAACTTCAAATTTGTCTAGAAATTCTGATTTCTAAAAATCGTACTAATCAAAGTTGTAAGATTCTTTATATTAATGTTCCTTTTGTTCTCTATATTTTGAGTTGCTATGTCTTTGATGCAGGTGGAAACTCGACTACTTTGATTTTTGTGGAAATCATTCATTCTTATAGGGAGTAATGTGAGACTGGTTTGTTGGACAAACAACAATTAGGCCTCATTTGTTTGCACTTAATGGAGGTCTGAATCTTAATCATTCAGATCTCAGACGTTAAGTGCGTTTTTTTTCAAAGTCTGAATCTTAATTATTCAGATTTTAATCATTAAGTATGTTTGTTTTTTTTTACTTCACAACCACTTAATGATTCTGAATAGGTCTGTATCATTAAGATCTATAACAGAGACTTAATTTCATTAAGATGCTATCATCCATATTCATTATTAACTGCCGCCACCGCCTACCATTATCAACTACCACCATGCCACCCACTACCACCATCATCCTCAATCATATCCGCCACCATTGTCGACTACCACCACCCACCACTCCCACCACCATCATTAATGACAACCAACACTCATCCACCTCAACTATCACAACTAACCACCCCATCACCATCAACAACTATAGCTGGCACTGCCCATCATTATAAACTACCACCACCCACCACCATCTTCCTCAATCACAACTACCACCACCACCACTCGCCATTATTAAATATCATCACCCACCACCACCATCTTCAATCATAATAGCTACCACTACCAATCACCACTAGCTACTACCCTAAACTACCACCAACCACCGCTTTTAGTCGGCATTCACAAACACTACCGTTAGCCATCACCACCAGCAACTATCATATTTTAAAAAGCTATACATTTTAGTGATGTAATATTAGATTAATTAGTATTTTATTTGAATTTTATGTTTATTAATTTTCAGATAAACGTAAATTTTATACATTCAGATGTTAAAAATCAAACAGTCTTAATCATTTAGTATTCAGATCTTAATACACATCTTGACATTCAGATGTGTATTTAGATTCAGATGACTTAATCTTAATACACATTTTGATATTCAGACGTGTATTCAGATTCAGACGTCTTAATCTTAAAAAAAACAAATGAGGCCTTAGCGACATCCAAGAGATGAGATTGATAGATTGTTAAAACAGAAGAATGTTACCGACTGCTTCTTTAAGCATCTCTCTCACTTCTTTTTTTCGATTCTTTCTTGGTTGCAGATTGTCTAGAGTTTTGCCAGATCCAGTATTGTGAAGAGCGTGAAGCGAGGAAAAGCGACAACCCCCATTTCACTTAAAGCGAGAAGCGAGAAGCGAAGCGCTCGCTTTTTTGAAGTGAAGCGGAATTTTAAAAAAAAATTAAAATAAATACTGCATAGACAACACATGTAATTGTAAGCAAATGTTCAATACTTCAATGTAAAGGATATAAAAATTAGAGGAAGGGCAGTTTTTCTCTGTTAAAAACTGGGCAGAGAAAGGAGAACCCAAGGATTGGCATTAATTCTGAGAAAGAACCGAAGGTTAAAAAAAAAATTCGCCAACATTTCGCTGTTATTTGGACGTTGAAGAAGAAGAAGAAGAAGAAAATCAGAACATACCTGTTGTTGTTGAAGACTTGAACTTGAAGTTAAAGTTGAAGAAGAACCCTAGTCTAATGCTCTCAGATGCTCTGCTTTAAAACCCTAGTCGTTGTTGTTCGTTTAATAAAAGACAGAACAATTTCGTTTTTAATTAAATAGCCTGGGTCTGTTTAAAAACAAAGAAGCGACCGCTTCCTTCGCATCGCATCGCTTGGTCGCTTCTCGCTTTTTAGTGGGAAGCGGTCGCTTTTTTATGCCTGAGTCGCTTCACCCATGTGAAGCGGGCACTGAGTCGCTTCGCATCGCTTCTCGCTTAAAGCGAGGAAGCGAGCGCTTTTTTAATCACTGGCCGGATCTGAGGTCTTTTCTTATGGTTTGGTGTTGTGCTTCCTTGTTTTATTGGGTGTTGTACTTGGTTTGAAGATTCTTTTGGAAATAACTCCCTTCCAAAACTCTTTAGACCCTGTAATTTTGCGGCTTACTAGCTCAATGATTTCCTGCGAAACTCTGTTTACTACAACTCAAATAAATTTTAAGGAACAATTTCACATTTTTCTCAATTTTTTTCACATAAAAACCTTTCGGAAGAAGACACAGACTGCGCACGTAAATCAAGGAAGGCTAAACGGAGCTAATCGAGGTTTTGAAACACAGAAATGAGGGCTAAAACTGAAAATGACCTATCGGGTCATCACAGTATCAGTATTTTTTTGCTTGCCTATCTCTTTGACATGTGCAGTATCTTGTTTTAAATTGTATTTAGTTAGACTTGCCTGCTTATATCTGTCCCGGTCAATTACTTTAGTGTTATAGCTAATATATTACTTAGTCTATTTCTTTTGTAGCCTTTTGCTGGTCCAGTGGTCGCGCGGAGCTATGATAGAGTGAGGTCATGTCCTCGGGGGGAGCGGGGATAGAGGGTAAGGATGGCAGGGGGTTAAGGGACCTTCTAGGTTGAGAGTGGGGTCATGGAACATAGGGACTTTAACGGAAAAGTCTATAGAGTTAGCAAAGATTCTCCACAAGAGGAAGATTTACATAACCTACGTCCAGGAGACTAGATGGGTGGGAAACAGGGCTCGGGAGGCTGATGGGTTTAAGTTGTGGTATTCAGGGAGGGTGAGAGGGAAGAATGGGGTAGGCATCTTAGTTGATAAGGATCTAAGGGAGTTGGTGGTTGAGATTAAGAGGGTGAATGACATGTTGATGGCCATTAAGAAAGTCGTGGGAGGGTATACTCTGAACGTAGTTAGTGCTTACGCACCTCAGGTGGGTTTGGACGGGGAGGTGAAAAGGCGCTTATGGGGGGATTTGGATGGGTTGGTGCGGGGTATACCGTCCATCGAGAAGCTTATTATAGGGGCTGATTTTAACGGCCACATTGGGAGGTTGCCTGGGGGATATGACAGTGTGCATGGTGGCTTCAGTTTTGGAGATAGAAACTGAGGAAGTACTTCGCTGCTGGAGCACGCTAAAGCTTTTGAGCTGGGGATTGCTAACACGGGTTACCCAAAGAAGGCGGAGCACCTAATAACCTTTCGGAGTACAAAAGCCAAGACCCAGATTGATTATCTACTTCTCAGAAAATGTGATAGAGGTCTATGCACGGATTGCAAGGTCATCCCGAGTGAGAATCTTACGACCCAGCATATGCTTTTGGTTATGGACTTAGAGATCAGGTGGACGAGGAGGAAGAGGGCTATGTTTGGGCTATCTAAGGTCGGGTGGGGTGTATTGACTAAGGACAAAGCCCAGGAGTTGGGGAAGAAGTTGCTGGCTATGGGAACCTGAAGGAGTAGCGGGGACGCGAATTGTATGTGGTCTACGACAGCGAATTGTATTAGAGAGGCGGCGAGAGAGGTGCCACATCCCAAACTACCCCCCCTAGACGTGACTGGCACCCAGCTAACACTATCTGCCAGGTGAACCATCTTATACCATACACTCAATATGTATTCAAAACTCAACCGGAATAAAGAAAAAGTTCCTAACATCTTAAAAACTAAATGTGAATGATTAATGATTCAAATTGTTTCCTTAAATATTTATGAATAATAATAACCAAAATAGAGGAACATAACTCTAGCCCAAATCCCATACTAGACCATGGAGCATCTAATGAGAATTACAAAAGACTCAAAATCGGGTGTGTAAACCCCAAATAAAAGACAACGTACAAATAATGGTAAAGACTCTTTTGCAAGCCTCCACGAACAATGCGGTGGCTCGCCTCAATAACTGGATCAACTCTAACGAACCCGTCAGTTATTAGACCTGTCGCCCGAATAGTATCTGCATGGACATGCAGGCAAGGAGTGAGTTATACGTGAATATAACCCAGTAAGATCCTCGACCCGCCACTTTGAATATCTCTCGAACAAGTATTAGAAAATACAAGCACACCACAACAAGAACAATACTAAATACAATAATTATACAATAAAACGGTATATCAACAAAGTTAATAACAATTAACTAACAAGAACACACATATCTCAACCCACTACACACTAAGGACTTGTCATAACTACAGTGAAAGAAATTAACCAACACCTCTATAAGTCCACAGCGGCACCACAATGCCTCAAATATGTAACAGAGCATACACAATGCTCACTGAAGCATAAACAATACCCCCAAATAGATCAACAAGCATACACAATACTCAAGTGATGTATAAAGGCATACACAATGCCCAACATCATGGCTCACAGCTGTATCAAACCATCAAATCCAACCTCATGGCTCACAGCCGTATCACACCATCAAACCCAACATCATGGCTCACAGCTGTATCAAACCATCAAATCCAACCTCATGGCTCACAGCCGTATCAAACTATCAAATCCAACCTCATGGCTCACAGCCGTATCACACCATCAAACCCAACATCATGGCTCACAGCCGTATCACACCATCAAACCCAACATCATGGCTCACAGCCGTATCACACCATCAAACAACTTATCAAATAATTTTTAGTATCTTTCATAAAATAATATATTTGCGGCTAGTCAAAGACCATTAATTCTTCCAAGCGCATGATTGTCGCAACACATGGACCAGACAGATAAAACATATTTTCAAAACGGGTTTTAGAAACGCAAAAACCAAAGCTTAAAGTCTCACTTACCTCGCTAATAAAAAAAATTCCAACCTTGCAACGTCTAGAACACTAACCAAGCAGCCTCCAATGGTCTCAATCTATCTAAAATATTGATTAACAATATCAAATGTGCTAGTCGGCTCATTTCATAATTTTTGAAGTAGTCAAATCAAAGTCAACTAAAAAATCAACTCCTCGTCACTATGGTGAAATCCCCAAACAAATCATATTTTTGAGCTACCCATATGTCATTGAGTCCAAATATATAATCAAGTTTTAATATTAATACCAATTTTTATGGGTTAAATTTCAAATTATATCATTCTCAAGCTTAAGACTTAAATCTTAATATTTTGTACCTCAAGTCATGGATTTAAAGGTGAAAATATGTCGCAATCCAAAGTTTAAAATCAATATCAATATATTGGATAATAATAATCATGAAATAAAAGAATGATCATGAAGTAAAATTCATTAATACCACTTTTGAGTTTTCCCCAAAACTTCCAATTCGCAGACTTTGCTTTCTCGTTCAAGCTTTAAGCAGACAAAGCAAT